TTTCCCTGCACCTCTGAACCTTTCTGAAAATGCATCAGTGCTGGGGAGGTTTCCCTGCACCTCAGCCTTTCTGAAAATGCATCAGTGCTCCATGTGCCCAAACCCAGCTCAGTGACACTACAATGCCAGCAAGAACAGGGCACTGTTTTGTGTTCTTTAAGACACAGCCAGTTCTGGGCTTCCCCTGGCCTGCTGCCTGCCATGAATCGAGTGCTCAGAGTCAGCTGTAGAGTGGAACTCACAGGCCAAAACGCAGTGAGCTGATTTAATTTCATAAGCGCGGTAAATTTTATTGTGGGTATCTGTGACGTGAATCACGCTTCAGATGTAAGTTTTTAAGTCATCAGAATTCGGTTTCTTTTTTCTTGTGCCTTCATGCAGTCTTTGAAGCCTTAGTGTTGCACAAACTTGGCACGAGGGCGATGTTTCAGACTCCATGCCAAACGTGACTCTCACTTGCAGGGCTCCAAACCCGCTTGCTGTTTGCTGAACACACACACACACACACACACACACTTGCAGCTCACAGCAGTGCAGCTCTCACACTTGCAGCACCCCAAATGCCAGCAGGCAAGGTGAGGGCCAGGGGCACAGCTGCCCAGGATGAGGGGTGCCCTGTGCCCTGCACTCCCCACCCAGGGCAGCTCTGGGTGCCAAGCAGAGCTCAGAGCAGATAGAGCACAATAGAGCAAAGCCAACCTACCATTGTGTTGTGCTGGGAAGTGGGAGTCCTATGGCCACAGTTCTCCTGCGTCAGCAGAGAAACTGGCTGAAATTCCTCAGAGTGAGGCTTGTTGGGAAAACTCACATGCAAGGGAAGGTGAAAGGCTGGGAGCCCGTCACTCTCCTCTTCTCCCACTTTCTGTCTGCTTGTCACCATGGCTACCTCTCCATCTGCTTCCCCATACGGAGAGGCTGGTCGCTTGGAAGACATCCTGGAAGGAACAAAAGAGGAGAAAATAATGAAACCTCCAAATAAATCCTTAATGCCGTCATTGTGTGGTTAGGGGCCATTGTAACAGAAATGCCTTTTTTGTGCTGGCAGAGAGCAGGAAACCATCCAAATACCACTGCAAAGCACACACAATTGGGAACAATGGCCAAGCAGGTAGCAACAGAACAGTGCCTTGTTTGTTGTGAGAATAATACACTAATATAGCACTCCCTTGTATTCTGGCTTCTTAAACATGAAAATTCACCTAAGACTGCATAATGAAATGCAATTCCTTTTAAAAAATACCCATCTAGTTTTGCATTTGCAAGGGACTCTATGAAGACAGAATGTCTCCCGATACAAGCCATTGTCAACCTAGCTTTTAAGGAATAATCATCTGCATCTCATTATTGACCACAACTGATAAAAAAAAAATAAGGTAAAATAAAATACAACACAATAAAAGAACTTGCTAGCGGGCCAAAATGTCTGTGTTTACAAAATTTCACCCATGTGAGCAACTGAGTGCTACAGTCACGTTGCAAGGATCTTTCCAGGTCTACAGACCCAGTATAATTAAGCAATTAAACATTTGGACATTAATAATCTAAGCTTTCTGACAAAATAAAGTTAGGGGCTTTGAATTAAGGTCAAGATTGAATGAAGATCTGCTATCAAATCTAGCCATATATCAAATTATTCCTTTCTATAGCTAGATCAGAATAAAAACCCTCATGAAAATGTAATTTATATCTGTGCCTCCACAGAAAAGGATACACAAGGAAGATACCTAGAGCACACATTGCAAAACCCATGCAGAAATATTGACTTGAAATTCAGGCCTACATTGTGAAGTTTTTGGTAGTGTCTGATAGAACATGTTTATCACCAACTTTTAGAAATACTGAAAGAAACCTAAATCATGGGCAAATTCAAGTATCATTCAAGACAAGCAACACTGAAAATCTTACAGAACACAGAATGCTTCCAGCTTGGTCTCCAAAACAGAGGGAGGTACAGTCAAGTCTTAAAATGCAGACAAAATCTGGGATTAATTACAGCAACCTTGTTCATGAAAATCAGGTTCTGTCCATGGATGGCCCCTGTGCTAACCAGGGGCATCTACAAGGAGCAGAATGAGGAGAAATCCTCTAGGCACAGCCAAAAGAAGATGTGAAAAATAGGGAAATAAATAAATAATAAATAAATAAATTAAATATTAAATAATTAAAATAATAAATAAATAAAATAATAAATAAATTAAATAATAAATAATATTATATTATATTATATAATTATCGCTATATAATTATATAATAAATAAAAATAAATAATGATAAATAAATAAAGTTGTAAATGAGGAAACAGAAGACTATTTGTATGCAAAAGTTAAAAAACGGGGCTGAAGTAATATTGCTCCTCCTCAAAAATGTCATATTTATGATTTTCATGACCCCATTTTTTATTCTGCACTTAAAGGGCTGCACTGGAAGGGCCCAGGAGCTCCTGAGCCATGTGTGGGGCTGCTGTGGGTGCAGCCTGTCCACAGGGTTTGGCACATTGAGCACGGAAAGGTTCTCAGCAGCAGTCAACTGGGTCTGAAAACAAACAGCCACTTTAAACAGCCCTTTGTTAAGACTTATTTTGCTCCTAATGATCTCATTTTGAGCCTTGCCTCCTGAGCCAAGTTAGATTATATTAAATAAAAAAGGGGGGGGAAAAAACCAGAAAAACCAACAACAAAAACTCAGACAAAAAAAAATCCCTCCCAGAACCTACATGCAGCTGCACATGGGCTGTTCTGAACAGCACCTATTGCCAGCGCTCAGAGAACCAATCTGTATTTTCTATTAATGTCTGCCTCAGTCCAACACACTAACACTTCATACATCCTACCTGAATTCTGTCTTGTAGGCTTCCCCACCTACGTGTCTGCAGCAAAGCATATGCACCAAGACAGAGATCACAGAGAGACTCTTACTGGCAGTTTGCTACTAGCCCACTGAATTCAGCATTTTACAGCTACGTTTGATGTGACAGATCTCAAACCCTTCTGCAGAAACCACACAGCTCCCTTCTAAACTTAATGTGAATTATTCATATTTTGCATTGTACTGCACAGAGATCGACATTTGCTGCTGAATTTAAGTTTTTTGGTTACTCATTTTAACAGTACTTTAATAGAAGCCCAAGCATTTACAAAATCTCTCTGAAAATCAGCACCAAGCAGTCGTCTCAATTTTGGCAAACAAAAAGGGACGGACACAAGATCATTACTCAATTATTCCACAGTAATTTTCTATACTTTAGAACAGTTATATTTGATAAAATGATTGAAAATATTGTAAGCCACACACAAAAGTCCCCACTGCAATTCACTCTGACAATAAATTAGAGAGAGAGAGGATGCCTTGTTCTGTATTGATGATTTGGATTATACATGATATACTCAAACTGTGTCAAGAACTCCTACTGCTGTTAACCTAGAATAACACAGATTCTGTCACATTGCTTCACAAGGAAAGTTTGAATATCACGCTGAAATAAAGCTCCTCTGTTAACTTTGGATGTGAATACAGAGTTTCAGATCATCTTCCTCTGCTTGTCACTGTTCCCAACAGAGATGAAATAATTTTCTGCAGGGAATTTATATAAACAGACAAGGAAGATAATAGAGGTGTCCACCTCCACGCACTTGCAGTAACAGAGATTATTTTGCTTTTGATCTAAAATGAAAACCTACACGTTGGATTGTAGACCAAAGTAAAGTGAAAGCAGAAAGGGCAGAAGAAACTTTTCCTTTTGTCTCTAAAACATCCAGTTTAAATTACAAGCCACGTGCCCATCACAAGCCTAGGAGATTAACAAATCACTAAAACGGCTAAGGCAGCAAAACAGAGCTTTAATCTGGGTTATTCTTCCAACAACACCCAAAGAAATGGTCACACAAACCTGGACAGCTCAGCCATCAAATGCAATTTGTGTTCAGGCAGCTCTGTCCACAGCCAGCCCGAGTCAGACAAAAATCAGTTCCACAGAAATTTCTTACTCCCTATGAGCATCCAGGAAACTTCCACAAGAAAATGGAAGATTTAAATAAATAAATTAATAGATCCACATCTACTTTTGGAAATGTTTTCCTAAAGGATAATGACTATCAAAGTCTATAGTAGCAAAGGGTCAAATAAATCTCTGAGAGGTTCCCAAGCAGAAAACGTGAAACAAGAAAAAGTCATCTACAAATGTCTTTCATAATTGCTACAGCTTGACTGGTCCATTTCCCAAATTTCACATACCCCTACATCATGCATCCCCTATATTCTTCTTTCCATAAATCTTGTTTATCCTACTGAGCTAATGCCAGCTCTTAACAGATTCCACATCTAAGATGCAAGCAGAGTTCCCACCACAAACAGCAAGGAAAGGGAAACAGCTGAATTCTGAGCAGCAACTCCACCTGAAACTGAGCTCTTTTAACCAGATCTAGCCCTAATGAAGTGCTGGAATTATCCCATCCTAACAAAGGACTGCAAACATCCTGGATCTGCCCTCAGTGACAACACAACAGTTCACAGCTCACAGGACTTCCAAGATCTTCTCCTCAAATCTAAACTCAGAATGGTTTTCAGTTACATCACTCTGAAAGAAGATTTACAGTGGAACAGGAAACACCAATTTATGGACAGGATTAAAAAAAAACCCCACCAACCCAAAACCCTAAGATGTAACTCAGAAAAGTACAAAAGTACAAAAGCAATACAGCACACCAGATTCCAAATGTAGATTAAATCTGTTGCAAATCCATTGTTTCAAGAAGAATTGCCTTTTGAAATGTCATTAATCACTTCTACTGAATAAAAACAGGTAGGTGGAAATCTTTTAGAGGACCTAAATCTGCAAAGTTCTCATGCACATGCTGTACCCAGGCCATTCCACAGACACACTGGAATTATGAAATGCATCTCCATATTTGAGTTTATCAATGGTTCAAATGGAACTGAAGATTTAATTCTGGGGATTAATTCAAATTTCCCTGTAAACAGACCTGTTTTCAGAAAGGCTTCTTAATATGTAGAAACTGCAGGCAAAATACCCAAGCATGCTTTTTGTTCAGTTTTCATTGAATAAATGCTTTTCCTGGTAGGAAGAATGTTTTTTCAGGGAAGTAAAAATCTCATTGTTCTAACTCACTCTTATCCAACAAATATTTTATGTGATTCATATTACAACAGTTTCTCCAAATATTTCTTTATGCCCTTCAGTTTGTAACAGACTCTTTGTAGGCTTAAATTGGCACCCTGTGTCTGTTGATCTCAGGGTTTTTGCATTGACTTCAGCATGGCTGGATTTTCCCACTGGAGCAAAAAGGAGCTTCACTACATCCACATGAATTGTTTCCTACACTTATTGGTTCCATCCAAATAATTTCAGGCTGCTAAATATGACTATTTTTCTTGCTTGCTTTTTCCCTTGGATTCAGTGTCTCACAGAACTGATCTTTCCATAGCTGTATTTTTTATTATTATTACTATTTTTAACAGAACCTCACTTAAGTGTCCCCCTCTACATCTCCATTTGTTCATTGGTTTTGGTTCATTTCATCCTTGATTGTACTCCCCAAATAAACCTGAAGTGGTGTTCAGTACTCAAGGAGATAGTGCCCTCTAGCACACAACCTGCATCCTCTCCAACTGGATTGTTCCTGCCATAAAATTTAATAAATTTTGTGTCATAAAACTCTAATCTTGTTACATTAAGCAAAATACCTCAGAAACATTTCAGATACCTACAAAAGCTTTTGGAGAAGGGGCTTATCCATGTCTTCAAAAGTGTCAAACACAGATGTGTCAGGAGAAAAAGATATGAGGCCATAAATCTTAACTTGTTGGGAGTTAATTAAGGGATTCATCAATCACTGCACAGCTCACCCCATACCCACACAGGCAAAATCCCGTCACAGCAATCACACAGCCCACAGCAATCCACAGGTTAAAAACTCCC